GTCCGAGTGGTCGGGTAGCTCAGAACAGGAAAACAGGGTGGAGGCCTACATGGAGACGTGAATGAAACTCATCTAAAAACAAGAGGCCAGAGTAGGGATGTTATGGCAGGGAGGGCAGAACCAATGTGAGCAGTAAAAACAGCTTTAATGCTACATATAATTGTTTTCTTTGGGACCTAATGAATTTCCACTTTTGTTATCCTTACTTATGATGTTTTTAACCAATTTAGATGCATTTAAATAATTTGAAAAGCTAATGTGACAACTTAACACTAACTTGTAACTCTTAAGCAAAGAGATGATGAAACGCCATATTATGTTAAAAACCACATCAAGGATTATTTCTGAAACAGTATGGAGCTCAAATGCTTTTTCTCTTGCGGGTTTACCACAAGGTGAGTTTCTTTTTATATCCTGCTTTTTTCTTTTTTTTTTTTATTCTGGGTGTTTCTCAATGTTGAGGAGGCTTGCTTGGTAGCACACGTACCTCCGAGTCAGTTGCTTCAGAAGCGAGGCAAGAATCCTTCCTAGCCTCGGAAAACGAAGAATTGTGGAACAGGCTAACAGGTGTGCGTCATATGCGAAGCCCCGCCTTAAATGGAGCTCGATTTCCGCCAAAGATTTGGAAATTGGTCCGTGCGCAAAGCATTGTGGGGATTTTAAGACCGCGGAGGATACACATGTGCAGCCTCGAAACGAAGTACGCCGGCCTCGGTAGAATTCCAAGTATCCTGGACATTGGAACAGTCCTTCGGCGGGACTCGATGATGTAGTATCCTTGAAATTGTGGCCGTTTCTCAATCGCGAGGATGCTTGGTAGCACATGTCTTCCGAGTCACTTCCTTCAGAAGCTAGGCAAGAATCCTTCCTGGCAATCGGAAAACGAAGAGTGGAACAGGCTAGCATGTGTGCAGGTGTGCGTCATTTGAGAGGCCCCGCCTTACATTTTCCGCCACAGATTTGGGGAAATTGGTCCGTGCGCAAAGCATTGTGGGGATTTGAAGGACGCAAAGTCTACCCATGTACAGCCTCGAAATTACCCTCAAACCAAGGACGCGGCCTCAGTGGAATTCCAAGTATGCTGGAGATTGGAACAGTCCTTCGGCGGCACTCGATGACGCAGTATCCTTGAAATATTGGCTTGGAAGCCAGTTTCCTCGCGATTGAGAAACGGCCAGTGGCTCTGGAGCAGCTTCCCTCGACATTGAGAAACACCCACTCTTTCCAGTACAGCTTAGCTCTGAGTGTTAGCGATGCTTGTTAATGTAAACAAAGACCATATTACGTCCAAAACACATCAGGCATTGTTTCTGATAGCGACATTTCTGATAGGGCTGAGGGTGTAAAGCCAGCCCACATTTCTGATATTACGTAATATCGGTGGCAAATCTGGATCAGCTCCATTGTACCCCCGTTTTTAGAGATTTGGGTACGCTTTGTGAGTTCCCTTACACACCGGGGACACATGTATGTATACAAGACATCAAAATGTGCATTTTGCATGATCGGAGACCTTTAATGGAAAAACTGTGGAAATAAAAGGATGCCACATATATGGACACATGCACTCTCCCTGTGTGCCAACTACCTAAATACAACATGCAGTATGCTCGTGCACAAACATACTGTACACACTGATTACAGATGCAGTATGTACTGCTCCTTCTGGCCAAGACCTTAATTACCCAGCACAGTCTTACTTCACATAAATACAGCGAGAGCAGAGCTGTAATTATGGCCTATATTTACCCCACCTGGCTAGAGGAGAACACAGTTCAATGCGGGCCACAAGGATGAGCCAGCCCCACTCGACTCTGCTGCCATGAGCTGAACCAGGACCAGGACAAATAAAGGTTTGAAATTAAATGAAATAAGCTACAACTATGGAAAACCTAAAGTAAAGTATTTGGGGAGGGGGAAAAGCAAATATAACATGTGAAAGCAGGTGCCATGTGTCTATGATCTTGTTGTTTTAGGTGCACACAGCATACGTTGTGTGTGTGGATGACAAGGAAATATAAACTCCTGCCAACTCAGAGAAACAAACATTGCTGCGCTTTACTCTGACACTCTGTAGCTTTTGTAAGATATCCTTCCCAAAAAATATTTTCAGAGAAGACTTATGGCTTCTCTTGATGAGGACAATAGACTGGCTCTCATGTCAGAAGCCAAACAGACCTCCAAGTGAGGTTACACATCCAAATAGCTTGGACACTTCTCTGCCCCTCTCTGTTTACTTTGTGGCAAGATTGGCTTTTCCCTGCCATCACATCTACATCAACAAACTGATTGGCAGGTATATACTGTGCCCTTGCAGCAGACAGACACACAAACACTTGTGTGTAATCTACTTTTAACAGCTGAAACATCCTGAAATGCTGCATTATGTTGTGTTTTATGGGTTTGAACATTGCTTTGGTGCTCTGTTTAGGAACTAACGCTTCCCACTCTTCATTAATGTGTCACATTTACTGGCGTCATCATGTTTCAGTGTGTTTAGGATTCATCGCCCGCACCCTTTAAACCCTCCTTCAGCAGATGAAGGTGTTAATCAGAGTGGCACTGGCTCTATATTCAGAGACAGAGAGAGTTGCGAATGTGAAAGCTGTCAGGGTGAGGCTCTGCTTTCAGAGGACTCCAAATAGAAGGAAGACATTGGTTGTTTCAGAGAGAACAACAAATCAAGAGAACTAAAAATGGAAGAGCAGCCCTCTAATAACTTTGATCTGGGTCCTTACTCTTTTTGTTTGAGGTGGTGAAGCCATGTGTGGAGTGCAGAGGAGGACAGCATGCTGACTCAGGCCTCTTCACTTTTAGGTCCTCCTCTCAATGGCAGGGAGACCAGAAGGATTTATGAGAGAGGTGAAGAGAAGGGACGAGAGCAGACTTGGCTCGATGCGATGGTCTCTCCTGGTGGCCCAGCCGGTTGGAACAACCCTTGTTACGCCGCAGACCATTTTTTGAAATGTTGTTATAAGCTATACCATTTATTTTCTTGTTGGCTCTGCCTTGATAACCAGACAGAGAAGGAGAGAAAGAGGGATACAGAAAAGACAGCTTACAAAGGAGAGTGAGTAAATAAAAGCTAAACAAGAAGCTTACAATGAGTAAAAAGTTACACATTTGAAAAAATACACAGGGACCTCGCAGCAAAGCTCAGGTAGTGTCCACACACTGTGTCATGTACAGCCGAATGCGTAAAAGTGAGACTGGTTAACTGTTTTATTAATGAAAGTCAGTATATTATTGCTGAGGGAGTGTTGAGAAAAAATGCAGCAGAGACAGAGTTATATAAAAAAGTGTTTCTGGAATCACAGCTTGATAGAAAAGTACCAACACAACAATGTTAAAATACCTTCCTGATATTAAGAATCATACATAAGTAAATATATGAAGGTTTTAAGTCAACATAGTTTAAGTATTAAAAGTGAAAGTACATGCTACACAGCAGAATGGCTCCTCTCATTGCTCAGTAAAAAGTACAATATTTGCCACTGAAATGTGTAGAAGAAAGTAACAAATAACTGAAATACTCAAGTAAAGTATGACTAAATATTGTACTGTAAGTAGGATTCTAGACGTTGATCTTAAGCGTGTATTAAAAAGCTGAAACTAAAAAGACAAATTTGCCTTAAGAGCTTTGTCACATGTTTTTCATCTCTTAGGGTCGGTTGCTCACCACTGACAGCGATCTCATGAACGCAAAAATGCCGTGGATTGGCTGGAATCTCCCAGCAGCTCATCACCACCACCAGTAACCACCGGGCTCTTACTGGAGACGCTGTTTCAGACACACAGACTACCCAGCGCTGATTCAATCCCAACTAATGAGACCCTTTGGCTGCACAAAGTGATTTACATCAACTCAAGGGCAATTTGGTTTGAAAGACTCTAATTTGTTAAACAGAGTATGCAGAGTGGCCAAAGACCTGGGGTAGTATTTATTTGGGAGATCTGAAGCCCTGCGGAAAGCATTACATCTCAAAGCAATGGAGTATGTTCTATCAAAGAGCAGTGTGTAAAGAGGACTTCAGCACAGACACACCTGATGTAAACATCCAGGTTCAGATGCTGGAGAGGAGCCAGCGGACTCAAGTTACTTAAGCAAACACAAGCGTACACGCGCTCTATACTGTGGAGGCATACAGTTCAGTGTGCCACAAAGAAAATAGTGAACCTTTTTCCTCTGTTTACTTCCTCCTGTCAGAGTCAATGACATCACATACCTCTGAAACAGTACGCCTTTCACAGAGGTGTTATAGTTTGGAAAACACATACCAAACAACCCAAGGGGGTAGCACACACACACACACTCCACACACACACACATACACACAATCACATGCGGAGACATACAAATATGTAGTTCTACTCCTCCTGAGTTTCCATAAGGGGTGATGTGTCTTCCAGGTATTCCTGCGGTCTGAAATGTAATCTGCTGCGGCATAAAGTGTTTTCGCAGGATTCTTCATATTTACAAACGAGAAAGCCAACGGCCTAAAGGCGGACAAAGGCCCTCGGTAATTAGAACACCCTGGGAGGTCCACCACTGGAAAGTGTGTGAATATTTGCTCTATATTGATCGGCCTCCCCCCCTCCCCCCTTCATCTTTATCTTTCCTCATTGCTGCTGGATGTGATGGAGACTTGGCTCAGTGAGGTATTTCCAATGAGGAAAAGAGAGAGCGGTGAGAGTGGAGAGGTTCATGGTCAAACTAGCTTAATGTGGGATGGGTACCCGTGGGAAGAGGAGAGCAGGGACGGCAGCGTGTGTAGCACGTCCATAAATCAATAGTAGATGAGTCACTGAGAGTGGCCAGTGGTGAGCGGGGTTACTGTCAACATGTTCATCACTGCAGTGTGGGAATACAAACCCACTTAATGGCAGTGGAGCGACAGGGACTATTTTCCCCATTGTTTTCCTTAAATATCAAAATATCTAATTCTGTCTTAACTAAATAGATGGTTTGCTATAGCGCTGCAAAATAATAAGGTGCTTACCTGAACAGCTGTAGTCTGGGCTCGGGGGTCAAACACACGCAACATCTTGTCCTAGACGGATACAAAAATACAAAATAAACACACAAACACCTCATACAGTTGACTGTATCCTCGAAAACGGTTTTAACTAAAGCCAAACTTGGTCAATCTTTCAGTTTGTGTGTACAGACAGAGAGACCGAAATACCGTTTCCCACAATCCCGAATACAAAATCAAATATATATAAAAATATGTATGCAAATATGTTTATACCTATAAATATGTAATCAAAGACACATTTATACATATGCACACATTAAGACCTAAATAAAAGCACAACAATCACTATATACAATATGATATAACGTGTTTTGCATGACTATTGTATTTAACTGCATTTGTTTTAGCTGGATGTACCGAATAGCACTTGCAATAAGAGATGCAAATGTAGATAAATAACACGTGCAAGATCAAGTTCTCACAAAGAAAGGCGATGGAATTAAATGCTACTCAGTTGGCTGTCATTTTTTTAAACCAAAGTGAAAAAGTGAAATATTTAAAATGTAACATAGTTCCCCCCCCTCCACATCACATCACATCAATATCATTTAATTAGAAAATAACTCTCTAAGCTCTCTGAAGTTTCTCCGTTTATCAGTGTGATCTGACTGATTCATAGTCGGCAAATGCAATCCAGTGACCTCTCCAAAGCCACAAGTGCCTGCCTTGACCCGAGTCAGCCCAAAAACGCATTTGGCATCAATCACAGCAGCCAATCAGAGAGCCTCCTGCATGATTGAGAGGAAATGGGGCCTAATGGGATCAGGCTGTGACCGGGACATGTGTGTCTGCAGCCGTGTCACTCAATACCGCTGTGTGACCGTGATTACTGCAGACATACAGGGCTGATAGCAGGTCATAAGTATAAGGACCTAGACTAAACCACACACACACTTAACTCACATATACATGTCAAAGAGAATCAGGAGACGGACAAAGACGCAGTGCAGCCAACACACACTGAAGGCACCACGCAACATTTGTCCACACACAACATAAACACAGCATTTTATCATATCAGGCTGCAGTGGGCTGTGTGAGCTTCAGCTTCTCCCAGTCCTTCTCTCCAATGCAATCCAAGAGGACATTTATTTTTAGTTTATTAGCTCAAATAGCAAACAGAAGGATTTCTCAATGTACCCTCTCTCTTTCTATCTTTCTGTTTGTGTAGCCCACCCACGCATATGATGCCCCAAGGCTATGGCTTGAGGTCTCTGTGACCTGGGCTTAAGCCAAAAGGCTTAGGGAGCAGTGTCAGAACCACACACACCCCCACACACACACACCCCCACACACACACATACACCCCCACACACACACACACAATGAGAGCCCAGCTGTAGCCCAAAATTCCTAAGTCTGGCTAAAACTATCTCTGACATATAAGTCTAAATTCTGGATAAAGTCTAGTCGATAAACACAACCAATCGTTTTGTTAAATAGCCAATTTAGGCTGTTAAGTAATAGTTAAAATAACTTATTTGTATCCAATTATATTGATATATGAGATAATTCAATGTTAATATATAATATATATAGGTGGATACTCATAGTAATAATTATCTAATTATGTATTTTATATATCATATTTACTTAATCCGCTGATCATTTTCTTGATTAATCAGTGAATTATTTTGTCAATAAAGTGTTGAAAAAATAACCCTTACAATTTCCAGACGGACAAGTTGACATCCTTAAATGTCTGGCTGTTGTCAGAGCAACTGTATAAAACCAAAAATATATTTAGTTTCAAACATCAATGACAAAGCTAGGCTGCAAAGATGCACATATGCAAAAGGTTTTCGAATAGCAAAACAGTTGCAGAAAAAACATGCCATGATGTGTCAGTGCTCTATAGCCATCCATCATTTCAGCTCCCTGACAGTGCAAACACACTTTAGGATAGCCAAACAGACCAGTGTCTACTGTACATATATACAAACATACATCTGCCATGTTAAGTTAAATCACTGGTGCAAACAAGATGAGGGAGGAAACTATCTGGCTGTGCAAACACACAGATGAGGGGCTATCACGTGGAGATGTATCCACCAAGCAACCAAACACACACAGACACACAAACACACTCTCTTAAGCCTATGACAATAACCCATGTAAGAACACACACCGTCTCAAATCATAAATGCGCAGATGGAGGGCCAGGATAGCTGTGTGTGCATCTGTGTGTGACTTTCTATGCTGAGGCAGCTGTTTAATCAGAGTGACGGAGCCTCACTCTCAAGCTGCTGTTAATGAGTTTTCACTGCACACAACTTTCACATGTATGCAAACACACACAGATGCTGGGAATCTCCAATCAAAAGTGCTCTCTCTGTTCACTCTGTAAACACACTGGGATGCCAGCTTCCAATTCCCAGTCTCCCACGGTTACCATGTCCCGATTTGATTGGAGGTTTGAGACTTCGGGATCCCGTTTATCAATCACTCCATCTCCCTGTTTTAGCAGGATAAATATGATCTGCTTTGTTGTCATGTTACTTCCAGAATAAAAAATGGACTGTGGACCGTCAATCCAGTGACACCTCTTTTCTAAACAGCATACCACCCTGTCCCCTCCATCATGCGGATAAACACA